ATTAGAGTCTTTAGTGATTCATAAAATTTAACCAGAGACAAAGGATCGTTGTTCAATTCCAAAAATGTGTAACCATCTGGATCCATAAGCTTAACTCTGGTTCATATCACTTCACTCTATGAAGCCACTATTTTTTTCTTTGAGTCAATCACATGGTTATTGCTAAAAAAAAAAAAAAAAAAAGGCTGAGGTAATCAGAATAAAATAATGCATTTTTAATAAAGATTATTCCTGTTAATTGCATGGGTAGTGCTCAACCTTCATAGAAAAAGAATGGATATGAAAACAAGATGGTTTTAATCTTCAGTATTCCTCTAATTAAAATAACATACTCAATATGAATTCTACCATCCATGGGAAGTCTATTTCTAGGGTTGCTGGGAAAAAATTCAAAATCAGCAATTATTTTTTTATAAGACTTTTTTTTTAACTTTTAATTTTTTCCCCTTTATTGATTTTAGAGAGGAAGTGAGAGGGAGAGAGAGATAGAAACACTGATGAGAGAGAACATTGATTGGCCACCTCCTGCATGACCCCTATTGAGGATCAAGCCCACAACCTGGGCATGTGTCCTGACCAGGAATCGAACCAGCGACCTCTTGGTGCATGAATCGATGCTCTTTCACTGACCCACACCAGCCGGACAGCAATTATTTTTATGCTTGTTGAATTTTATGTCAGATGCTGTGGAATGTACTAGAGTCACATATATGTATTTTTCAAAACCACAACAAAATTGTTAATGAGTATTTGTTTCTCTCTCCTCTTTTCTATCCCACCCTACTCTTTGCTAGATTAATTTCTACTTATCCTTAGATCCCAGCTCAAATCTAAGGAAGTTGAGAAACTTCCTTAGAAAGACCTTTCAGGGCAGATTCCTCTCCCCATCTAAATTAGGTCCTCCCTTTACCCTCTTTCTTTAAGCCCTATTAATTTTATTCTTTGTATTTATTATAATTTTATTACATAATTGGATGTCTGTTTCTCCCATTGGACTATTTTCATTTATTCACTCATCAACTCATCCTTCATCATTCAGAAGGTATTTCTTGCATACCTACTAAATGTCAGGTTCTCTTAGGTACACCTCTTAAACGAAGATACAATGGTGAACAAGGAGAGGTCACTGTTCTCAGCAACTTATGTTCTATTGGGAAGATGGAAAAAACCAAATAAACAATTTGAAAGCATTAAGTGCTTTGAGAAAAACAAATTAGGGTAAAAGAATAGTAGTAACAGGGCAAAGGAGAGGAGGCTATTTGGGATATTTGTATAGGGCGGTCAGAGAAAACCACTCCACGGGGGAGGATATGTGAGCAAAAGCCTAAATATTATAAAGAAGTGAGGCTTGAGAAATAGAGTGCAAGGGGTTCCAGGGAGAGAGAACAGGAAGTAGAACTGCTCTGAGACTGGAATGAACTTGACGTATTTGAGAAACTACAAGTGTGGCTGGAATCAAGTGAGCACAGCAGAGGGTGGTTGATGTTGCTGGAGAGGTCAGGGCAGATAGACTAGTCTTAGAGGACTTTGTTCTTAATGTGACATAAAGTCCTTAAAAGATTTCAGCAGAAGAAATAGTATCTAATTTACTTAAAAAATATAAATTCTCTAGTTGCTTCATGGAGAACAAACCCCAAGCCAGGCTTCAGGGAGACCAGTTAGGAGGCCATTGCCATACTCCAGGGAAGAAATGCTTATGATTTGGATTAAGTTGGTAGTAGCAAGAGTGGGGAGGAGGCATGGTCAGTTAAGATTTATTTTAGTGGTAGAATGAACAAGATTTGCTAAAGAATTGATATGGAAATGTAATGGAAGGAAAAGAATCAAAGTTGATCCCTAGGTTTTAGATCTTAAAAAGGGGATAAATAGTGATGCCTTTAACAGAGATCAGAAGAAGAGGTGTGTGTGTGTGTGTGTGTGTGTGTGTGTGTGTGTGTGTGTGGTGGGGGTAGAGTTCTGTTTTGAACATGTTATGTTTGATATATTTATTCCTATTTTACATCTGAGTGGAGATGTTGAGTAGGCAAGTGAGCACACACACACACACACACACATCCCTAAGCAGAAATTGAGCCTGGCCAAGACATTTGGAAGTCATTAGCTTACAAGTGATATTTAAAACCAAGGGACTGGATAAAATCATGCAGGTAGACTGTGTAGAGAAGTAAAGAGATCTAGGTCTGAGTCCACCCACTGTGGCCACCCACTGTGGAATAGTAGAGTAGGATGAGGACTACCATTTTCTCACTGTTATATACCTAGTACCTAGATCAGTTACTGGTACATAATTAGAGCATAATAATATTTGTTGAGTGAATGAATCTCCACTTCTACTTATTTGTCAGACATTTATTGAGGGTTTCTAGGTCCCAGGAACTGTTCTAGGTCCTATGGATTCCCAATAATTATAAATTCTAGTGGGGCCATAGACATGCATACAAATGCAACAAAAATACATCTTTTTAGTTTATAAGATCTCTCTTCCCCTTCTCCTATCTTATTATAAGGAGAACAGGACTGAAATCTGGAGTGCCTTTGGTGGTAAGCAATAATAAGTTGAGACATATACATTTGGGGCTATACTGCAGGCAAAGAGGTGAGCAGGAGGGAGAGGCTGAGGGAGAAGAGTGGTGGGGCTTTAGCTGAACTGGAGAGGCGGCCCCAGCCAAGAGTATCAAATTCAATGAAAACAAAATATGGTGCCAGCTCGACTCATATGGCTGAATTCTGGTGGACAATGGACAGTTTATGAACAGTTCAGCCTTAGGGTTATACTTAATGAATCTGATTAAGTGTTGAATAAAGTCAAAAGGAGTCTGGAGGCTTTGGCTAGAAATAAATGACAAAGATTTATTCAAGGGTCTTAGCATTTGCAAACTGGAAACACGACTGGGCAATACCCAGAGTGTTCCAAAGAAAGAAAAGCTTGGAGTACTTATAGTAAAAAAGTACATTCTTAAAAAGAATTAGTGCTATATTCTTAGTCTCCGGATTGGTCCAAGATGGTAATCCTCTAGATGACTGGTGATCTGGAAGATGGATGTCAGGAAGTCAGGATACATGAACATTCTTTCCTTAGTCCTTCAGGGGGTAATCAGAGGGTTATCTGGAATTTTGATGTATATCCACACATGGATGCAGGACTGGAAAGTTAAAAAGTTTACGTTTTCAGTCTAGTTAAAATGGGAACAGAATTGTTTTCACATGCCTCAATCTACTTGATTTTAGTAATTTGGCATATTGACTATAGTGACTGTTTTATGTCTTCACTCCATTCCTCAAAAGAGAGTGGAAAAGAGTGGGGGTTATGCAGAAGGAGATAAAGAAAAAATTTTAGGTAACTTTTATGAATCCAAATCCAGACCAGAAAAGGAAACAAAAACTCTTGATGGGAGGATAAGAGGATAAGTGTGAAGCATTTTATTGCATTACACAATTTCTTAAGCTAACTTTATGGTCTTACTCCTCTGGAACTTTGCTGAGGTAATTCCCATACCGTACACGTTTGTGCCCCCTCACAACTCATTTCCCTCCTGCAACAAAGAAAAAAAAGAAAATAGAAAAAGAAACTAAAAGAAAAATCTCTATCATTCTTTAAGGCCCAGTTAAAACATGGAGTTCCTCCCCAAAACTAATTGTTCTTCAAGCTGTGTTCCTATATTTTTCATTCATCTTATAGCTCTATATTGTTGTAGCTCACTGTCCTTAGAATCCAACTTGTCTTTGAGCTGCCCTAATTAACAACTTCAGAGACAGCAAGATGAACAATGGGGAATGTTATAGACGGCTTTTGCCCCATAAAAATTAACCAGAGTTTGACCTTCACTGGGAATTTGAAAAGCAACATCCTTCAGGAAAAGGGAGGACAGAAACAGCCCCAAGGCCAGAGTGTCCTGCATGCTCTGTAAAGAAACTGATAGGGAGAAACTGAAGCTCTCTTTACCCCATAAAACTGTAACTGTTAAACATGTGTGTATTGCACCTGACTGACCGCTGATATCCGTCTCGAATTTGTTAGTTTTTAAAACTTGGATAATGGAATGAATAGCAGGATAGATGTATGCTGACCCAATTCACCCAGTTCCCTTTCGCCTCAGCTCCTTCCCACCTCCTTTCCCTCCTGCTTATTGCTAACTGCCTCCGCTTCTGTACAAGCAGCTTGCTTGCTCTGCTAAACTCTTGACTGACCCCTGCCCTATATAAGCAACCCTCCCCCTGAGCTCGGGGCTGCAGTTCTCCTCTGTGTAGGTTGGCTGCAGTCCGTGCGCAGGTAATAAAACATCCCCCAAAACTGAAAAATTGAGTCTGAGTGTGGTCGATCTCCTGGGTTACAACAATATCATAGCGTATTAGTTATTTGTCTCCATGAGGCCATTTGCATAAACAACTATGCGGGAGGGAAGCCTGGCATTCAGAAGGCCCTCAACAAGTGACTGTCACCAGAGCAAAGGTGTGCTGTGGGGAAGGCACAGAGGCAGTAGACACAGACTTTATCTGGAAAAGTTTGTAGGAACAATAACAGCACACTTAACAATGATAAAGCACTTAATAAAGAGGTGAAAATAAAGCCACGGCTCCACGCCTACTCCTCACTACAATCTGCCCATTCATAGTGGCTTCTCTGATCCCATTCCCTCTTCAAACCCGAGCTCAAACCAGACTGGGTCTGATTGGCCAATCGGGGTGCAGTCCTCTGCAATCGCGAGGACCTGTGCAGCCAATGAGAGAGCTGTGTTATTTGGTGGGGCGAGACGTGACGCCTTCTGTCGAGATACTGAGGGCGCGGTGACGTGTACGGCGGAGCTGAATCTTGATTGGCAGGTGATCATCTTCCTTAGAACGGAAACCGACCCAGTGAGTACAAAGGAGGGGTTATGGGCGGGGAAGTGAAAGTGGCGTTAGCCAATGGTTGACGCACTACGCGCAAAGGAAACAATAGATCACCAATGGTGACACAGATATGGCGCTGTGGGCGGGATTTGGGCAAATACGGCGTCGGAGCAGCACCTATTAGGGTTGTCCTCACCGTCACGGCCGGTTCTTCTTCTAGGATTCATTCATTAGTTGTTTTTTCTCCCTTTCACGAGAGAAGTGAGGCCTGGTTGAAAGCCATGGAGAGCTCTCTCCCTGCGGCCGACTTCCTGTACTGGGTAGGCGCCGGCACGGTGGCCTACTTGGCCCTGCGCATCTCGTACTCGCTCTTGACTGCTCTTCAGGTCTGGGGTTTGGGTCACGAGCCTGGGGTTGGACCGGAACTCGGTGAATGGGCAGGTGAGTCGGATCCAGCGCCGCCCGCTTTCTCGCGGCTTCTTGAAACTCCTGCGTCCCGCATACCCGCCTGGCCCCTTAGCCGTCTCCGCTTGCCTAGACTTGTAGAGTTTCTACGTGCTAAGCACAGGAGTGGCACAACTCGGCGACTCTGAAGTGCCACTTGGTAGGTGCGAAAGAAATCTGGACTGAACTCTGGCGCTTGTCATGTAAGCCATTCCGGGTTCGTGGCCCGGAGTCAGACTCCTTGCTGCCTTTTCAGTTACACGCTACCCACCTTGTTAGCCCCTTTTGAGTGTTTTAAAGATAAAAATTTTCTGGCCTTGTGCTAAGGATGCAAAAGCATTCTTTTGACTTTTTAAAAAGATGGGGGTTGGCGTTGACGGCCAGAGGAACAGGACATAGAATTTACGAAGTCTTCCTGCTCTTTGGAACCCTTTACTTGGATTCGGCCAGTTTCATGTAATTTACAGTTTTTAAAGAAAAATCCTCGCTACACTGTTCTGGAATCTAAAAAGTAGTAAGAATTACTGCTTCTGCAAAATGGTAACTCTTCATATAGAAATCAGAAATACTTTTTGCAGAAAGTCATTTGTGGGAAAAAGTATTCCCACAAAGAGTGAGCTAAACAAATGGGCCTTGTTCCATCCAGTGGGAGGATTTTAAAAATGGAAAAGAAAGGTCAGATTAGAGAAGTTGAGATTACCTGCAGGAAAATTTTGTGCTTGCTTTTTTGTTTGTTTGTTTGTTTCTTATCTTTCTTTTTCGTTTATTAAACCAAATTACATGCCATGGTCGTTCTCTGATGTGATTATGTATTTTGCCGTTTTAGAATGGAATGGTCACTTCAAGTATTTTATTGAATGGTGGGTTGTTTAGGGGTTGCTTTCAGACTAGGCTCATGTAAGGTATAAAAATAGTTTATTCCATATTCTTTTTTCATTCAAAAACATTTATATAGTCTTTTGGGCAACAACATAAAACATCTCAAGTAGGAACGGATATGTAAGAGCTCTGTCCACAGTGTGAAGCAGCTATTAACATTAGAGGACTCATTTTTAGAAATCACTTACTGTATTTTTTTTTTTAATCCTCACCCGAGGACCCTTTTGTATTTATCTTCAGATAGAGCAGGAAGGAGAGAGGGAGGAAGAGAGAGAGAAACATCGATGTGAGAGAGACACATGGACTGGCTGCCAACCACACAACCCCACTGGGCCGGTGATAAACTGCAAAGGAGGTAGGTGCGTGCCCTTAGTGGGAACCAAACCCAGGTCTTTGGTCCACGGGCCCACACTCTAACTGCTGAGCCAAACTGGCCAGGGCTCACTTACTGTATTTTTAATAGTCTTTGAAAAAGCATGTGAATTGCTCAACTTGATTATAAATAAGATTATAATTTCACAGCTTGTTCAAGTTCTTGGTTTCGAGGTTTGGAGAACTTGATTGTGGACTTTTGAAATAGTTCCACAAGACTCCAATGTTTTAGGAAATGTTATATCAAAATGAAGTTCTTTAATTTGTATGTAAGGACTAATGTTAATAACTTTTTAAAAAAAATTTTTTTTATCCTCACCTGAGGATATTTTTTCCATTTTTTGTACAGATAGAGTGGGAGGGAGAGAGAGGAAGGGAGAGAGAGTGAGAAACATCGATGTGAAGGGACACATCGAGTGGCTGCCACCCGCACGACCAACCAGGGCCGGGGACAAACTGCAACCGAGGTACGTGCCCTTAGCGGGAACCGAACCCGGGTCTCTCCGGACCGCAGGCCGACGCTCTAACCGCTGAGCCAAACCGGCCAGGGCAAAAAAATATGTTTTTATTGACTTTTTAGAGAGAAAGGAAGGGAGAGAGATGGAAACATCAATGTGAGAGAGAAACATTGATTGGCTGCCTCCTGCATGCCCCCTACTGGGAATTGAGCCTGAAACTTGGCCTTGTGCCCTGAGCCTTGAGTGGACCTGGATCCTCTCAGTCCATGGGATGACGCTCAATCCACGGAGCCACAAGACTGGGCAATGTTAATAGCTTTTTAAAAAATATATCTAAAATTGATCATAGTGGCTAATAATTCAAATGGCCTGTCATCTATGTGAGCCCATGGTAAAAGTAAAGTAATATTTGTATTGAAAAGATTTGATTCCAGAGGAAGGATTTTTGATAAATTAAGGGAAATGTCGAAAAGATTTAGAAATGAAATTTGAACTAGAACACTGGAATATGGCAGAGAGGATCATAGTGTGGTAAAGTGAAATATTGTGGAGTTGAGTTTACCCTGGATTGTTGGAAAAATCTCTCTCTTTTTTAAGTAGTTAAGCAGAAGAAATGATCAAGTTATTTGTATGTAAAGAGTAGAAACAGGTTCTTTGTATCAGTTGGAGGGTTGAACATAAATAATTTGAAAAACAAACCAGCAGAGATAACACTTGAATAAATAGGGTTAAATTGTGATTTAAAATGGGTAGATAATTTGCTCAACTAAGATTAGGAGTTTAGAATTAACTTTTGTATATAGATAGTACTAATACATTTTCTCCCCTATAGAATTGCTTACTTAGACCTGTGTTCCCTTCCTTGAATAAAAGCAAGTAGCATGCAGTATTAGGGAGGCATTGCCTACTTTCTAGTACTAATGTTCATTTAACATCTTTCTCTCCATAACCAATTAAATATTTTAAGTATTATATAGTAATGTGTGTTGATTTGATAGTATATTTTTATTCTTGTTATTCTTAAGTCTCTTCATGTGATTATGTTTAATTTCTCCAAGCATTTTTCTGTCTTTCCCTACAGTAAACTGGCACATTGATCAGATATAAGCTCTTTTAAACTTAAAAACAAAAACTTGGAAAACCCTTGAAAGACAGGTTTGCTTTGCAATCAATAAAAGTATTTCCAGACTACAGATTCTTTCGTCTCGTTAGGTTTTTAAGACCATCGTGCATTAATTGGCCCATGCTCTAATTTATCTCCTTCATTTCCTAATCAAGAGCGAGATTATCTCATCTCTAGTTTGCACCTGTAACGTTCCCACTCAGGTGAAGAACGCTGATGTCATGAGGTCTCTAGCAGATGGATTTAGCCAGTTTAGTAAGGAAGACTGTTTTGCCTGTCAGTGTGATGCCATACTTCCTGTATTTCCCAGGAGAACAAAGAGATCTTGTGAAAGTGGAGCTTCAGTTGTTTGAAAGTCACTGTAGCAAGTCCTCAGAAGAAGGTTGCCAACAAGGTGGTCAGTTTGTGCTAAATAGAGAACAGTCATTGCTGTGGAGCAATAAAGAGTGTAATCTGTAGGATTTAGTTTGAGCATAATTACATTTTGTATTTATCCTTGTGTAAATATTTTGTGTTCATTGGAGTTCATCTAAAATGGTTGATACTTGAAATAAAGTGGAGATGAGAGATGCAAAGGCAAGGTAAGCATACTTCCAGAGCCAAGCTATTTTATAGCTTTAAATCCAAGACGGCACTCTGAGCTCTTTTATTTTATTTTTTTTTCATTTTTTTGTTCCTAATCCTCACCTGAGGATATTTTTCCCAAAGATTTTTTTAGATAAGTAGAAGGGAGGGAGGGAGGGGAGGAGAGAGAGAGAAACACCCATGTGAGAGAGACACATTGATTAGTTGTCTTCCGAAGGACCCCGACCGGGGCGGGGATCGAACCTGCAACCCAGGTATGTGCCCTTGACCCGCAGTCAAACCCTAGACCCTTTGCAAGGCCGAAGCTCTAACCGCTGAGCAAGACTGTCCAGGGCTCCTTTTTTTTTTTTTTTTTTTAATTTTTTTAATTTTTTCTTTTTTATCCTCACCCGAGGACATTTTTTTTTTTTCCGTTTTTTGCACAGATAGAGTGGGAGGGAGGGAGGGAGAGAAAGAGAGAGAGAGAGAGAGAGAGAAACATCGACGTGAAAGGGACACATCGAGTGGCTGCCACCCGCACGACCAACCAGGGCCGGGGACAAACTGCAACCGAGGTACATGCCCTTAGCGGGAACCGAACCCGGGTCTCTCCGGACCGCAGGCCAATGCTCCAACCGCTGAGCCAAACCAGCCAGGGCTTTTGTTTGTTTTTAATAGAGAGGATATTTCTCTAGGCAGGAAAGACAAAGGATCCACTAAATCAGTTAATCAGTTAGATTTTTAAAATAGCTTTTATTGAGATATAATTCATATACCATGCACTTGACCGATTTAAAGTGTACAATTTAAGATTTTTATCATAGCCACAGGGTTGTGCAATCCTCATTACAATCTAATTTTAGAACATTTTCATTCTCCTTAAACCTTGACCCTGGCCAGTTTGGCTCAGCGGTTAGAACATGGGCCCACAGACTGGGGAGTCCTGGGTTTGGTTCCCACTAAGGGCATGTACCTCGGTTGCAGTTCCTCCCCCGTCCAGGATGGGGTTGTGCAATTGGCAACCAATCGATGTGTCTGTTTCACGTAGATGCTTCTCTCTCTCTCTCTTCTTCCCTCTCTCCCTCCCACTCTATCTGACGATAAATGCAAAAATGTCCTCGGGTGAGGATTAAAAAAAAAAAGAAAGAAAGAAACCTTGTACCTATTAGCTGTCTTATAGTTAATCCGTGTGGTGGCATGTTTCAGTGCTTCATTAATTTTTATTGCTGGATAATAGTCCATTCTGTGGAGGGAGTTTAGATTTTGCAAAGGGTCTTCACCTCTGCATTTTGCCTTCTGACCATCTACATGAACAGATCCCTAAGATTTTGCAGCTTTGATGCCAATAGAACTCATTTGGCCTTGTAGATTTCAAGGTTTTCCCAATTCAGTGGACAGGGAAGACTTAAAAAGGGCATGGGCTGATGTAGAAAAGCTATTCATCAAAACTGGCTGTGCTTAGCCCAACTCCAAAATCAGAGGATTCTCAAAGTCAGATTGTTGTGTAATCTGTGTTTCTATACTGGATAACTGCACAGGATTGGTCTGGCTACCTCAAATGGTTAAAGGCTACTTGACTAACCAGTCCCTGCTGACAGTGG